GAGTCGACTGCTAGGTTGAGTGCTTGTTTTCTTTAAACACACGAGTGCGTGAGTTTGGGAGGGCATTGTTCACATTTAAAGGAGTTGGATGGAGAGCGATCGAGTATATCTTTTACTCGCTACATAAATGAGAGTTGAGTGTGTGAACACTAGTCTTGAATTCTATATGCTCTTGTGGTTTGCTCTATTTGACTATTGTCAGACAGGATGAGTAGTCAGATGGATTTGATTGGTTGACTTTGATGCATAACTGTCGAGTTTACCTTTAATCGTATTTATTGATTTGAATTGCTTTTGGGGTGAAGTATTGATTTATTTATTCATTGCTTTGCTTAGGGACAAGCAAAGGTTTAGCTTGGGGGAATTTGATATACGTGTTTTATACAATGGTTTTCCCCGGTTTTACTTAGTAATTTTATATGGTTTTGAGCTCTACGGAGCCATTTCTTGCTAACAATCTCTTCTTTAGTGTATTCGATTGTTTTAGTAAGCTTTTCAGGAATATGAAGCGTTTCTAGGCAATTGGACGTGTTTTTAGTAGATTCGGAAGAGTTGATAGCCAAGAACTGCAATTTATGTGGAGTGCCCGACCGGGCATGGCTTGCCCGGGCAGACCGGGCAATGAAGAGTTCACAGGAAGAAGCCCAATTCTGAACGGTGCAACGCGCGCCCGATCGGGCAGGCTTCGCCCGGTCAGACCGGGCGATGAAGAAGTCAAGTTATGAAGATGCAATTCTGGAAACGTGTTACGCGCGCCCGACCGGGCGAGGTTCGCCCGGTCTGACCGGGCAAAGAAGGAAAACTGTCGTATTTTACGCAGCCTTCCTCCGCCCGATCGGGCGAGATCTGCCCGGTCTGACCGGGCGATGTTCAAGATTGCGCGATTTCAGCTATTTCCGAATTTCTATCTTTTGGGGGTATAAATACCCTTTTGTAATTAACTTTTAAAGGGGAGTTTTTCATTAGTTTTTCTCCTTAAGCCCTAGAAAACTCTCAAGAACCCTAGTTTTATTTCCTTTAAGCAATTTCAATCTTTTAATCCCAGATTAATCAATTGTTCATCAACAATTTGAGTTCTTTCAATTGGAGTAATTGGTATTTATCTTACTTCACTCTTTTCTGATATTCACTGTTCTCTAAATATGTTTTCTTTACTGTTTCTTGTTTTTGAACTTGATTTTGATTTTATTATGATGTGTGAGTAGTTTCCTTAATCCGGGATCTTGCTAAGCTCGATTATGATTGATGTATAAAGTAGATCTTTAAATTCCCCAATAATAATCCCAATTGACATGCTTAATTGATTGTGTTTATGCCAATACTAGATTAGGAATAATTAGTATTGTTATCATCCCTTTGTTCTTATTGCAACGGAAGTTGGGTATTAACGGGATTAGGTTATTCCAATTAAGGGTTTGAAGATCATCACGGAAGTAGATGATTGAATAATTAGGAATCTAGGCATGGTGTTTAATGTCCCTTATTCGCTTGATTCCACGGAAGTAGGCTTGATAGTTAATTTGGGAAGCCATTGATAACTTGGAAGAGACCTTTGGTATTATTATTAGGGATTGCTTTTCTTCTTGTCAATTGATTTATATATTGGGGGTAGATTTATTAGTTTATCAATCATAATCGTGGTAATGCTTGATCTTGGATGCTTTAGTTTATTGATTAATATTTCCTCTAGTTAATTGTGTTATTTAATATATTAGTTGATTATTATCATCCATTATTGATTGGTGACGTGCTTAGTGATTAATTGAGTCTGATTAATTGAATGAACCATAGTCTCTTGGGATTCGATCCTTACTTGCCCTACTACACAGTTAGAAGGAATAGTTAGGTTATTTTTGTTAGGTACGCGATAAGCCTATCAACTATCCACCAAGTGTCACTCCCCACGGGTTGCACCCAGTTCAAACTCCCTAAATAGGCTAGGTCCATGAGTTTTGATCCTACAACTTTCATATGCCCATCCGGGTTCCAACCTAGGTGTTTTCTAGCAATGTGGGTCACTAACCCCCCAAAATAAATAGGTGGCCTAGACCTACTAGCCTCGGCCGCATTGGCCACCCTTTGGAAGTGATTGGCTATCCTATGGGGTATGTTCAATTTTTCGACGGTAGGAATTACATAGGATGCCAAAAGTTCCAATTCATCTCTCCTAACATTTTCCGGTTCATGCCTCCCAAAAATAGTGAGGCCGACAAATCTTTGCCAAATTATTAGGACGGGATGTTGAATCCACGTCCCTTTGGCATGCTGGAGGTTAACTAAATCCTCCCCAGTTAGCGTCTTATAGACCACGGCGATGTGGTCTTGAGAGGGTTCAATTGGTTTATCTGATTTTAAATCAAACAACTTTCCGAATTCTTTAAGAGTTAGTCTCACATTGTTGTTTAATAATCGGAATTGTACATGAGTAATTAGTGCATTCATTTTAATAACATTAAAACTTGAAATAAATTCTAATGTTAAGTAGTCATACGTATCGTGGCACATTTCACTACTAGAAATAGGCTAAATTGTGACGGAATGCTTACGACGGATATGATTTTCCGTCGTAAAGGTGGATATTTTCGACGGAAAATATTTCGTCGCAATTTAGCGACGGAAAATTTCTATTACGACGCATTTTCCCTCGTAAAATTTACGACAGAATTTATTTCCGTCGTAATTTAAAACTTGCGACGGAATATTCCGTCGTAAAGTGTTTTGCGACGGAATATTCCGTCGCAAGTTTTAAATTACGACGGAAATAAATTCCGTCGTAAATCTTACTGTCATTTTTTGAAAATTAAAAGTTGCGACCTTGCCCTAAAAAAAAGGGGGAAATAATTGAAAATCAGAGAGAGAAGTGAAGCAGCGCGAGGAGAGAGAGAAAGAGAAGGAGAGAGAGAAGGAGATAGGAGAAAGTTGCGGCGACGGTGGTGATTTCTTTACGCCGGCGACGCCTGCAGACGACGCACATCAGCCGCCGAGAAAGAGAACGAGAAACAGAGAGGAGAAAAAGAACGGGAAAGAAAGAGAGAGGAGAAAGAGAACGGGAAAGAGAAAGATAAGGAGGAAGGGAGAGCTGTCGAGCCCTGGTGGTTTCCGGCGAGCCGCCGCGTCTAGGTAAGTGTGTGCAATTGTCAATTAATTTTTTTTTTTTTTTTTTTTTTTTTTTGCAAAAAAACTACCGGAATAACATATAACCACCACAACGCAGCCGCACCTCCGTCTCCTAGTCGTGACTGAACCCACCGGCCCTTGGTTGTTTCCGGCAACGCCCCACCTCCGCCTGACAGTAAGTGTGCTCAATTGAATATCAGTTAGTTGGCTGCTCGAACTCTGTGGCCAAACGATCGCAAAATTACTGCTATTTTTCTTGCTTAATGTGCTAATTTTTATGATACTATGCTATATTTTCTCAGGAATTGTGCTAATGGTTTGTTAAATCAGGATTTTACGAAGTAATTATTTCAATTTTGTGTTAGTAGCTAATTATTCTGGAATCGTTAATTTTGTTGAATTATGTTTGCATTTTTATTTTTTTTTTTCTAGAGAGGGAACGATTAAGGTGATTAATTAGATGACAAATTCATAAATGCTCGAATTCTTTTTTTTTATTTTTTTTAATTTTTTTTTTAATTTTTTTTTTCTGATTTGCTTGAATTTTGTTGCATTAATTTGAATTATAAACCCTTAATTTTTTTTTTAATTTTATTGTAGGATTTGTACAATTTTGTTGGTTTAATTGTTAAAAAGAAGTGTAGATCTAAAGGTTAGTTACATTACAAACCCTAATATAATGTATATGTGTATCTTACTTTGGTTGTTAGATATTCAATAACTTTTAGTTTGGTTAATTTAGTGACATTGGTGATCTCTTATAAGTAATCAATTGCTCCCTTCTCTTAAAAAAAAACAATATAATGTTAGTTTAGTTTAGTTTAGTTTTACATAATGTAGTTTAGTTAAGTTTATGTTAATATAATGTGTTTTAGTTTAATTTATTTTAATATAAAGTACCTTATTGTAGTTTAGTTTTTTTTAGAAATATGTTAGTTTAATTTAATATATATAACGGTAGTTTGGTTTGGTTTAGTTTAATATAATATATTAGTTTACTTTAGTTTGGTTTGATTTGGTTTATATTAATAGTATGGTGTTATGATATGTTTCTCTTGTTTAGTTTAATCTTGATATATTTGTTTAATATTATGTATGTTAGTTAAGTATATATATTTTTAAATAAATCTTATAATTAATTAATTGCTCCCTTGATCTTTAAAATAAACAATGTTAGTTTGGTTTAGTTTAGTTTAACATAATGTAGTTTAGTTAATATTATGTTAATATAATGTGTTGTAGTTTAATTTATTTTAATATAAAGTATCTTAATTTAGTTTAGTTTTTTTAGAAATATGTTAGTTTAATTTAATATATAAAACGGTAGTTTGGTTTGGTTTAGTTTAATATGATATATTAGTTTACTTTGGTTTGGTTTGATTTGTTTCTCTTGTTTAGTTTAATCTTGATATATTTGTTTAATAATATGTATGTTAGTTAAGTATATATATTTTTTTTAAAAATCATTTGCATAATCATATGCCTAGATACCCGTTCAAGGCATACACATTAGAAGTATGTCTTGAATAGTCCCCGGTTGGGACTGTCCTTGTACGTTTATTCTCACTTAGGTGGTGAATGTATTCCTTTGTTTTAATTCTAAGGAAGGTCCTTGCTTGTCATTTCTCTACAATGTTCTCTAGGTACATATATAGGTGTTTCTAATCGCCTATATTGTGTACTCGGGGAACTGTAGGGAGATGCTGCCAGATTTTCCATAGAATTGAAATTCTGGCATACATTCACTAGTGAGATTGAACTTACAAGGATGGGTTAGGTTGGAGTGATAAGGACCCTTGGAAATCATTTCTCTTCTCATTTGCATTTCCATAACAGTTTGATCTACAATGAATATATATTGTGCTTTATGACTAATGTGATTAATGGCATGTGTTAGTTGTGTAGAACTTGTAATCATGAAACGAAAAGAACGTAGCTGGATGTACGAAAGGAAGGTTGGGAATTCTATTAATCCTGAGTTCTTGAAGGGGGTAGATGAATTCCTTAAATATTTGGAAGATCATCCCGAGAGTAGCAACCCGAATGAAGTTAGGTGTCCATGTTTTAAATGCAAAAACAAACGTCTCTGGGATCCAGATACGGTCAAACTTCATTTGTATCGCAGCGGTTTTTTACCTAATTACTACGAGTGGATGTGTCATGGGGAAGGGTTTCCAGGAACTCGTAGAAGGGAGTCAAATGAATATCGTGAAATGGTTTTGGATGCCTTTGGTCAGTCTCAAGATCAAGGCCATTCCGAAGAGCCACCTGTTTCATTAGAGGAGGAGCCTAATGCACAAGCCAAGCCATTTTTTGATTTGTTAAGGGCTTCTGAACAACCGTTGTACGAAGGGAGTTCATTTTCTGTGTTAGAGATGGCTTCTAGAATCACTAGCCTAAAGTGTGAGTATAATTTGCTGCACAGATGTGTTGATGGATTTGCTTCTTTGGTTAATGAAGCGATTCCTAACAACAACCACATGGCCGAGACATTCTATGAGGTCAAGAAAATTGTTAAGGGGTTAGAGCTGCCCCATGAAAAGATTCATGCATGCCCGAAAGGATGTATGTTGTTTTGGAAAGATGATGCTCAATTATCTACATGTAGGGTGTGTGGCAGCGACCGATACAAGAAGACTTCTAAAGGTAGCTTAGTGCCTTTGAATGTTCTATTTTATTTCCCTATCACACCTAGGTTGCAAAGGATTTTTGCAACTAAAAACATTTCTGAGGAAATGACATGGCATGCTAAAAATCCTCGAGTTCAAGGCACAATGGCACACCCTAGCGATAGTGAAGCGTGGAAACACTTAGATAGTTGCTTTCCTGAGTTTTCCTCTGAACCTCGTAATGTTCGACTTGGCCTATGTACGGATGGATTTGCTCCACATGGTCAGTTTGGGGGACAGTATTCATGTTGGCCTGTCATTTTGACCCCTTATAACTTGCCTCCGTCAATGTGTATGAAAGACAGTTCATGTTTCTTTTGTTACTCGTTCCTGGTCCTAAAAACCCTAAGGGCAACTTGGATGTTTACATGCAGACGCTCATACACGAGTTGAAACAGTTGTGGGAAGTTGGGACAAATACTTACGATATTTCGAGAAAACAAAATTTCAATCTTCGAGCAGCCATCCTATGGGCTGTTAGTGGCTTATGGTATGTTATCTGGTTGGACCACAGCCGGTAAGAAGGCTTGTCCATATTGCATGGAGAAAAGCAAAGCATTTTGGCTCGAAAATTGTGGTAAGGTTTCTTGGTTTGACTACCATCGTCAATTCCTTCCGACAAATCATCCTTTTCGAAATAGTAAAAATGCATTTTGTAAAAACAAAGTCGAAAAAGGTTCACCACCTCACATCATGTCAGGAGAGGAACTTTGGGAATGTGTGAAAAACCTCCCGAAAGCAACAGATGGCCCTGAGGCACTGAAACGTGTCAAGAATGCAAAAAAAAGGGTGGTTCAAGCAAAGAACTCTATGGGACCTTCCATATTGGAAACATCTACTTGTTCGTCACAACTTAGATGTCATGCACGTTGAAAAAAACTTTTTTGATCAGTTGATTCACACTATAATGGACGTGAAAAAGCAATCTTGTGACACCCTATCAGCTCGGAATGACATTGCTAAATACTGTAAACGACCCCAGCTACATCTTCAAGAGGATGATAGAGGAAAAGAATTCATGCCAAAGGCTCCATTTGCTCTTGACAAGGCTCAGAGAAAGGTTTTGTGTGAGTGGGTCAAACAGCTGCGATTTCCTGATGGTTACGCTTCCAATTTGAGCCGATGCGTTGATTTGCAATCAGGTAAGTTACATGGAATGAAAAGTCATGATTGTCACGTGTTCATGGAGAGGTTGTTGCCCACTGCTTTGAGAGAATTTCTCCCTACCCATATATGGAATGAAATTACAGAAATAAGCCAATTCTTTCGCGATTTATGTTGCTACACAATTACAGTTAGCGACATGGAGCGATTGGAAAAAAAAAACATAGCTGAGATCCTGTGCAAGCTTGAGAAGGTTTTCCCCCCATCTTTCTTCAACTCCATGGAGCATTTACCAATTCATTTGCCATATGAGAGCAAGTTATGTGGACCTGTTCAATATCGGTGGATGTATCCTTTCGAAAGGTAAAAACAAAGTCCTTTCTCAACTCTTACTTTCATCTCTTTCATTGATTTCTATTACTTATACTTCTACGGCTACGTAAACATAATTACAGGTTCCTCAATCACCTGAAACGAAAAATTAGTAATAAGGCTCGTGTTGAAGGTTCCATATGCAACGCTTATCTCACTGAAGAGATATCAAACTTCTGCTCCAATTACTTTCAGCCCTCAGTTGACACATAAACACGAGATCTAGGTCGAAATGTGAATGCTGATGTGGAATCCCCGGCTGACAACGATGAAATCCCAGAGCTGTTCACGGTGGATAAGGGTCGTGTGTCAAATTTGGGTAAAACTCGGTATTTAGATGACAAGGAACTCGAACGTGCTCATTTGTTCGTTTTAAGAAATATCGGCATTCTTGGTGAATATGAAAGGTATATATGTTTACGATAAACTTTTGAAAATCCCTTAAATTTAATATAATTGCTGCAATGATTAACCATGTGTCATTAATCTATTAGGCAGTTTGAGGACTACATTCTTAGTACTCGAAATTATTTGCGTCGAGAAGATGTCATGGAGAAATGCGAAAGTGAATTCCCTGATTGGTTTCATCACAAGGTGATAATACCATTCGAACATTGCATCTCGATTAATTTGTGATAATATAATATAATATATTTCATTTCAATTAGTGAGACGCTTGTATTCGTAACGGTTATAGGTGAGAGAACAAAAACCAAGTTCCGATGTGTTGCGAGCATTGTCTATGAGGCCTTTCAAGCGTGTTCAAACTTAGAACCAGATATTTTTCGGTGGCTTTAATTTCCACACACAGTCCTATGGCAAACATAAATCTACGATGAATTACGGGGTGTGTGTCTCAAGTGAGGACGGTGGAGAGTACTTTGGCATTTTAAACGACATAATTGAACTTGTCTACACCGGTCCCGAAAAAGAGTACAAGACTATTTTGTTTAGTTGTAGTTGGATGGATTGTGGTAAAGGAATGACCATTCATGAACAATACAAGCTTGTCGAAGTAAATCATACTAAGAAGTATCCCAAGTATGATCCATTTGTCTTATCTTACCAAGTGTCTCAAGTGTATTATGCATCTTACCCTAGCCTTAAACGTGATCGGGTTCAATGGTGGGTTGTATTTAGAACTCAAGCAAGGTCGGTGATTGATGCTCCGGTGGATTTAGAGTTTTTGCAGGGTCCTTCCCCACAAGTACATGCAACGCTTTGTCCACCAAATGACATTCCAGACTATGAACTTGATAGTGATGATGATGATGACGACGGCTTTATTATCTCAAGCGATGAAGAAGAAGAAGAAAGCATTGACTCCAGTGACAGTGACAGTGACAAAGAAGAGGACATCGATGTATTTTTAGATGACACTAGTGATAGTAATAATGATAGTGATAATGATAGTGGTAGTAGTGATAAGAGTAATGAAGAGGATAATATGTAGTTACTCCTTTTACTATTGTCTTCGAATGTTTAGTTTTTAATGACTACTCGGATTTGTAATATTGCATTACATTTTTGGTCTCATTTTATTATTTTAATGTCTTATGGATCTAATTTATGAATTTACAATGTGCGATTATGGTACTAATAACTTTTTCAGGTGGTCATCATGGGAGGAGGAAATAAAGGAGAAACGTCCAAGAGGAGAAAGTCTAAGGGGAAATCTCCGGTTGTACGTGTTGACGAGGATGAGTCAATGGAGGAAGCGGAGGCACATGATTTGGGGGCCTCTCAAGAAATCGTCAGAAATGTACAAGGGCAACAGGAGCAACAACAGCTTCAGGAACAAGAGCTACAGGACTCGCATCCTAATGACTTGCTAGAGTTGGACCCTTCCACACTTTGGTGCATATGTATTTGTATAATGAAATATCCTTAAATTCGTATTTACTTTGATAAAGTGAATTTGTATTACTTTAACCATGTTTTGTTCACTTTTTGTTGATTATCTACTTACATGAATGTCTATCCTTTATTATAGGTTTGATGATAGGCCGGTGAAGAATGTGCTCTCCGACTCGCTAACCGGCTACTATGTTCAGCCTTGGAGGAATTATGGAGAGGTTGATGAAGATTCGAGAGAGCACTTTTGGAACTTATTCAACGTATGATAACTTTAACCTAACATAATACATGTTTTATAAATTATATTGATGGAGTTGAATTTTGTAATAAAGACATTTTCTTGATTTGCAGAAAAAATTCAAGTGGGCACCTGAGTTAAACAACCAAGTGAAGGACACTTTCGAAGAAAAGTTTGCAAATCGCCTACGTGACACGTTCTACAACATCACACACAGACTGAATGGTCGCAAACCAAGATGGCTTAATAAGGATGTCCACGAGGGCATGATGAAAATTGTTGCCACCGATCCAAAATATCAGAAGCGGTCGGAACAAAACAAGAAGAACCGAAGAGGCGGATCCATGGAAAATGTCGTTGAACCGACCCACTTTCAAGGTTCAATGTCATCTGTACAACATGCTAAAAAGATGGTAAGGTTACTACAATATGTCCAGTAACAATTATGTCATTTGTCTATTAATGAATTTTGGTGGGCTAACATGTTTTCATTGATTTTCTGCATGTACATATAAAGGCTGCAAAAAACCAAGGCCAATTACCAAATGCCCATGATCTATTCTTGAAGACAAATTTCAAGGAAGTGCCTAGTAAAGGACAAGTGTCTGCAAACAACAAAGCAAAAAGGATTGCGGTAAACACTTATTATATGAGTTGAAATATGGCAAATTAGCAAAGTAGAACTCAATATATGCTTATTTTGGATGAATTTGGATGAGTTAGGGTCGAACATTGACATATGTGCTTATTTCTCTTAATTTCTATCCTTAGGCACTTAAAAGAAATTGATATTGGAATGTTAGAAGAAAGAACGAGTCCATTTGCTTGAAAACTTAGAAAATAGGCATGATTTTAGCCATATAAGCCAAATTTGGATGATTTTGGAGGAGTGAGGGTTGAAAATTGACATATGTGCTTATTTCTCTTAATTTCTATCCTTAGGCACTTAAAAGGAATTGATATTGGAATGTTAGAAGAAAGAACGAGTCCATTTTCTTGAAAACTTAGAAAATAGGCATGGTTTTAGCCATATAGGCCAAATTTGGATGATTTTGAAGGAGTGAGGGTTGAAAATTGACATATGTGCTTATTTCTCTTAATTTATATCCTTAGGCACTTAAAGGCAATTGATATTAGAATGTTAGAAGAAAGAACGAGTCTATTTTCTTGAAAACTTAGAAAATAGGCATGGTTTTAGCCATATAGGCCAAATTTGGATGATTTTGGAGGAGTGAGGGTTGAAAATTGACATATGTGCTTATTTCTTTTAATTTCTATCCTTAGGAACTTAAAAAAAATTGATATTGGAATGTTAGAAGAAAGAACGAGTCTATTTGCTTGAAAACTTAGAAAATAGACATGGTTTTAGCCATATAGGCCAAATTTGGATGATTTTGGAGGAGTGAGGGTTGAAAATTGACATATGTGCTTATTTCTCTTAATTTATATCCTTAGTCACTTAAAAGAAATTGATATTGGAATTTTAGAAGAAAGAACGAGTCCATTTGCTTGAAAACTTAGAAAATAGGCATGGTTTTAGCCATATAGGCCAAATTTGGATGATTTTGGAGGAGTGAGGGTTGAAAATTGGCATATGTGCTTATTTCTCTTAATTTCTATCCTTAGGCACTTAAAAGAAATTGATATTGGAATGTTAGAAGAAAGAACGAGTCTATTTGCTTGAAAACTTAGAAAATAGGCATGGTTTTAGCCATATAGGCCAAATTTGGATGATTTTGGAGGAGTGAGGGTTGAAAATTGACATATGTGCTTATTTCTCTTAATTTCTATCCTTAGGCACTTTAAAGCAATTGATATTGGAATGTTAGAAGAAAGAACGAGTCCATTTGCTTGAAAACTTAGAAAATAGGCATGGTTTTAGCCATATAGGCCAAATTTGGATGATTTTGGAGGAGTGAGGGTTGCAAATTGACATATGTGCTTATTTCTCTTAATTTCTATCCTTAGGAACTTAAAAGCTATTGATATTGGAATGTTATAAGAAATAACGAGTCCATTTGCTTGAAAACTTAGAAAATAGGCATGGTTTTAGCCATATAGGCCAAATTTGGATGATTTTGGAGGAGTGAGGGTTTGAAAATTGACATATGTGCTTATTTCTCTTAATCTCATCCTTAGGCACTTTAAAGAAATTGATATTGGAATGTTAGAAGAAAGAAACCTTACATTTGCTTGAAAACTTGGAAAATAAGCATGGTTTTAGCCATATAGGCCAAATGTGGATGATTTTGGCTGAGTGAGGGTTGAAATTGACATATGTGCTTAATTTTTTTAATTTCTA